GATGGGGAGAGATAGCTCGCAAGCGTCTGCTCCACCACTGGCATCGCCCCATATCCCTTATCATTCAGCCCTACGATGTTCTCTTGAATAATTCGAGACTGTTGGGCTGTAAATACGAGATGAGTACGGTTTCTCCCACGATCTTGACACCTCAGCATGGAGATCGGGGAAAATGGAAGGCCCCGTCGTGAAGGCTGTGATCTGGATTCCAGAAAACGCTCGTCTAATTACTTTTAGGACGAGCGTCCTGTTTCTTGGCTGCCCAAACAATATTTTATTTTGGCTACTGCACAAATCACACCTCATTCCGAACCATGAGAGAAAGCCGCGGATCTAGCGGGTGAGGACCGAGAAAAGGACGAGCCCGTCTCGGATCCCTCCGCTAAATCCACTTGCGATCCCCATGACAACAGTCCGCGCTGTGCCTCGGCAACAGCGGCACCTCTGCCAGCGGGATCGCGAGCCTGGCCGCACTCATCAAACATGGCCCGGCGAAAGCGGAGCGTGCGCAGTGAGAGCAGCTCGCAGTCATGACAATCAGCCCCCTTGAGAGCTGACCGTGCATGCTCCGCTCCCAAACAAATGACACACAAATCGTGTGTATCGCCCGCAGCCAGATATCGTGGGCAGGGAGGAACACAGCGTTTGTAATGCCATTCGCTCGCCATAGACTTTTTCATGATTGTTTTTTTAAATATGCTTGTGCGGACAGAAAACAGTAAATAGACAGACACATACACAGAGCGCTACTGAAGAGCAGAAGCTGGTTTGCGCTCTGCCGGATGCGCTTTTATACTTTCTGGTGCTTACGTCACCCCGCTCGTGACGTCTCGCTACTCCATTGGGCTGATTTGACACGTGCTTCAGAACGCGGTCACGCAGGGGCGTTCCCAAAGTGATCTCGACGCAGCTCGAGTTCCTGAAGGGGAACTGTAGCACGACTATGCAAAAATCCACTATAGCTCAATTATAATTGTGAATATAAACAGTGTTGTATCTATGGTTCCACC